ATGATAACATTGGTAACTGTGGCAACAATAATCCCCCTCCCCCCTCCCCCCCTCCTCCCCCCTCCCCCCTCCCCCCCCTCCTCCCCCCTCCCCCCCTCCCCCTCTCCCCCCCTCCCCCCTCCCCCCCACCTCCCCCCTGCCCCCCCTCCCCCCTCCCCCCCACCTCCCCCCCCTCCCCCCTCCCCCCCCCCCTCCCCCCCCCCCTCCCCCCTCCCCCCCCCCTCCCCCCCCCTCCCCCCCCCCTCCCCCCCCTCTAGGAGCTGCAGAGACCGCATGCAGCTGGGGCTGGCCCCCATGGACACGGTGAGTGGCGGAGACTCCCCCTAGGTCGACTCGGCCTCAAATGAGTCCGTGGGGTCACTCCGTGTGCGGTGACCCCAGGTGTGTTGTGACCCCGTGCGTGTGCGGTGACCCCCCCGTGACCCCGTGTGCGTGGTGACCCCGTGTGTGTTCGGTGACCCCACCGTGACCCCGTGTAGTGACCCCCCGTGTGTGTGTGGTGACCCCACGTTGTGACCCACCCGTGACCCCACGTGGTGACCTCCCCGTGACCCCATGTGGTGACTCCGTGTGTGACCCCGTGACCCCGTGTGTACGGTGACCTTGTGTGTGCGGTGACCTCACCGTGACCCTGTGTGTGACATCGTGTGTGTGGTGACCACCCGTGTGATGACCCCCCCGTGACCCCCGCCTCCTGGACCCCCTTGACCCCCGTGACCCCCTGTGACCCCCCCGTGACCCCCCCCCCGTGACCCAGTCTGCCAAGTCGGCGTTCCTGAGGCCCTCCACACGGGAGCGGCTCCGCACCAACCCGGCCAGAGTTCGCTTTGCCGAGCGCGACGCGGTGAGCCCGGAGCGTTGTTGTTGTTGTTGTTGACGTTGTTGTTGTTGACGTCAACGTTGTTGTTGTTGTCGTTGTTGTTGCCTTCGTTGTTGTTGTTGTTGTTGACGTTGTTGTTGTTGACGTCAACGTTGTTGTTGTTGTCGTTGTTGTTGCCTTCGTTGTTGTTGTTGTTGTTGACGTTGTTGTTGTTGACGTCAACGTTGTTGTTGTTGTCGTTGTTGTTGCCTTCGTTGTTGTTGCCTTCGTTGTTGTTGTTGTTGTTGACGTTGTTGTTGTTGACGTCAACGTTGTTGTTGTTGTCGTTGTTGTTGCCTTCGTTGTTGTTGCCTTCGTTGTTGTTGTTGTTGTTGACGTTGTTGTTGTTGACGTCAACGTTGTTGTTGTTGTCGTTGTTGTTGCCTTCGTTGTTGTTGTTGTTGCCGTCAACGTCGTTGTTGCCATCGTGGTTGTTGTTGTTGTTGTTGACGTCGCTGTTGTTGTTGTTGCCGTCGTGGTTGTTGACGTCAAAGTTGTTGTTGTTGTTGCCGTCGTGGTTGTTGACGTCAACGTTGTTGTTGTTGTTGTTGCCGTCGTGGTTGTTGACGTCAACGTCGTTGTTGTTGTTGTTGTTGTTGCCGTCGTCGTTGTTGTTGTTGCCGTCGTGGTTGTTGTTGTTGCCGTCGTGGTTGTTGACGTCAACGTCGTTGTTGTTGTTGTTGCCGTCAACGTCGTCGTTGTTGTTGTTGTTGCCGTCGTCGTTGTTGACGTCAACGTCGTCGTCGTTGTTGCCGTCGTTACTGCCTTCGTTGTTGCCATCGTCATTGCCGTTGTTGTTGTTGTTGCTGTCAACATTGTTGTTGCCCCCCAATCGTTGTTGTCCCCCATCGCCCGCTGGTTTGTTCCCGGCAGCCCGACGCTGGTGACCACCAGCACCACCAGCATCATCATCATCATCAGCAGCAGCAGGAGCACCACCTCCTCTTCATGCCCAACGTTCTCAAGGTCTACCTGGAGAACGGGCAGACCAAGTCGTTCAAGTTCGACTCCGGTACCACCGTCAGGGTGAGCGGGGCCAACGGTCACGAGTAGCTCTTGATGTCCGCTTCAGCGGGAGTCACCGTTCTACGTGCGGGTCCCAGGGTGGTGAACGAGAGTCAGCAGTAGTTCTTTGATGTCCACTTCAGCGGGGAGTCACCGTTCTACGTGCGGGTCCCAGGGTGGTGAACGTGAGTCAGCAGTAGTTCTTTGATGTCCGCTTCAGCGGGAGTCACCGTTCTACGTGCGGGTCCCAGGGTGGTGAACGTGAGTCAGCAGTAGTTCTTTGATGTCCGCTTCAGCGGGCGTCACCGTTCTATGTGCGGGTCCCAGGGTGGTGAACGTGAGTCAGGAGTAGTTCTGTGATGTCCACTTCTAGCGTGGGTCACCGTCCTGCGTGCGGGTCTCGTTAGTTAAGAGGTTACCTGGGGCACCTTTGTCTGTGTGTGTGGGTGCTCGCTAACAGCACTTGCCCCACCACTCTGGCAAAGGCTACCTGGGGCACCTTTGTCTGTGTGGTGCAGGACGTGGTTCACTGGCTGCAGGAGAAGCTGCGCATCGAGCACAGCGAGCACTTTGCTCTGCTCCTGGAACGCGTCACCGCCACCACCACCACCACCGCCATTACCACCACCAACGCCACCACCAACGCCACCACCACCAACGCCACCACCGCCACCACCACCACCACCACCAGCGCCGCCGTTCCAGCACTCACGCTGCTACCGGAGGGCGAGACTCTGGACAAGGTGAGACACACCAAGGCAAAGATCCCCCGTGTAGCCTTAACAGGCTGTAGGGGCAAGTGCTGTTAGCGAGCAGCGCCTACACCGCACCAGGAACACGCGCGCACACGCACACACACGCACACACACGCACGCACACGCACGCACACGCACACACGGCACGCACACGCGCACACACGCACACACGCACGCACACACACGCACGCACACACGCACACATACGCACATACGCATGCACACACGCACGCACACACGCACACACACGCACGCACACACGCACACACGCACACACACATATACATGAATTCACAGTGTATTGTCTACACAGTCCATTGTCTACACAGTCTATTGTCTACACAGTCCATTGTCTACCCAGTGTATTGTCTACTCAGTCTATTGTCTACACAGTCCATTGTCTACACAGTCTATTGTCTACACAGTCCATTGTCTACCCGGTCCATTGTCTACACAGTGTATTGTCTACTCAGTCCATTGTCTACACAGTGTATTGTCTACACAGTGTATTGTCTACACAGTGTATTGTCTACTCAGGCCATTGTCTACACAGTGTATTGTCTACACAGTGTATTGTCTACACAGTCCATTGTCTACACAGTGTATTGTCTACACAGTGTATTGTCTACACAGTCCATTGTCTACACAGTGTATTGTCTACACAGTCCATTGTCTACCCAGTCCATTGTCTACTCAGTCCATTGTCTACTCAGTGTATTGTCTACACAGTCCATTGTCTACCCAGTCCATTGTCTACTCAGTCCATTGTCTACTCAGTGTATTGTCTACTCAGTGTATTGTCTACACCAGGGGTCGGCAACCAAAATAACAAGAAGAGCCATTTCTTTCCAATTCGGTACAAAATTCAGTATTTCAAGAGCCGCAATGCATCTGAGTACATACTGTACATACGTGCATATCGTCAAGAAGCAGCCTGTAAAGAGCCGCATGGGGCTCCGGAGCCGTAGGTTGCCGACCCCTGGTCTACACAGTCCATTGTCTACCCAGTGCATTGTCTACTCAATCTATTGTCTACCCAGTCTATTGTCTACCCAATCTATTATCTACCCAGTGCATTGTCTACACAGTCTATTGTCTACCCAGTCTATTGTCTATCCAGTCTATTGTCTACCCAGTGCATTGTCTCCAGCGTGTGTCCCCCGTCGCACTACCAGGTGGTTCGGAGGCCGGACGCTCGCTCCCTCCGCTGCAGATTCCGCGTCGCCTTCTACCCTCGCAACGCCTACGAGTTCCTGTGCCGGGACCCCGTCGCCTTCGAATACTTCTACCTGCAGGCGAGACTCACTAGGGACTCACCACAGACTCACCACACTAGAGACTCACCACGCTAGAGAGAGACTCACCACAGACTCACCACGCTAGAGACTCACCACACTGAGACTGCAACGCCTACGAGTTCCTGTGCCGGGACCCCGTCGCCTTCGAATACTTCTACCTGCAGGCGAGAGTCGGGACTCACCACACTAGAGACTCAGCACAGACTCACCACGCTAGAGACTCGGCACGCTAGAGAGAGACTCACCGCACTGAGACTGCAACGCCTACGAGTTCCTGTGCCGGGACCCCGTCGCCTTCGAATACTTCTACCTGCAGGCGAGACTCACTAGGGACTCAGCACGTTAGAGAGAGACTCACCACAGACTCACCACGCTAGAGAGAGACTCACCACACTGAGACTCACCACACTGAGACTCACCACACTAGAGACTGCAATGCCTACGAGTTCCTGTGCCGGGACCCCGTCGCCTTCGAATACTTCTACCTGCAGGCGAGACTCACTAGGGACTCACCACAGACTCACCACACTAGAGACTCACCACGCTAGAGAGAGACTCACCACAGACTCACCACGCTAGAGACTCACCACACTGAGACTGCAACGCCTACGAGTTCCTGTGCCGGGACCCCGTCGCCTTCGAATACTTCTACCTGCAGGCGAGACTCACTAGGGACTCACCACAGACTCACCACACTAGAGACTCAGCACAGACTCACCACGCTAGAGACTCGACATGCTAGAGAGAGACTCACCGCACTGAGACTCACCACACTAAAGACTCACCACACTAGGGAGAGACTCACCACGCTAGAGACTCACTCACCACGCTGATGGTAACGATGGTAACGTGTGTGTGTAGTGCTGTAATGATGATGGTGATGATGATGATGGTGATGATGGTGATGATGATGATGGTGATGATGGTGATGGTGATGATGGTGATGCTGATGATGGTGATGGTGATGATGGTGATGATGCTGATGATGGTGATGATGATGGTGATGATGGTGATGATGATGGTGATGATGGTGATGATGATGGTGATGATGGTGATGGTGGTGATGATGGTGATGATGATGGTGATGATGCTGATGATGGTGATGATGGTGATGGTGATGATGCTGATGATGATGATGGTGATGATGGTGATGATGATGATGATGGTAATTATGGTGATGATGGTGATGATGGTAATGATGCTGATGATGGTAACGATGGTGATGGTGATGATGGTGACGATGGTAACGATGGTAACGTGTGTGTGTAGTGCTGTAATGATGATGGTGATGATGATGATGGTGATGATGGTGATGATGATGATGGTGATGATGGTGATGATGATGGTGATGATGGTGATGATGATGGTGATGCTGATGATGGTGATGATGGTGATGGTGATGATGGTGATGATGATGGTGATGATAATGCTGATGATGGTGATGATGGTGATGCTGATGATGGTGATGATGCTGATGATGATGGTGATGATGATGATGGTAATTATGGTGATGATGGTGATGATGGTAATGATGCTGATGATGGTAACGATGGTGATGGTGATGATGGTAACGATGGTAACGATGGTAACGTGTGTGTGTGTAGTGCTGTAACGATGTGGTACGCGAGCGCTGGGCGGGAGAGCTGAGCCGGGAGACGCTGCTGCTACTCGCAGCGCTGCACATGCAGCAGCACGCAACCTGCAGCAGTAGCAGCAGCAGTAGTAGCAGCAGTAGCAAGTACACGGTGAAGCACATCGTGTGAGTGGACACACACACTCACGTACACACACACATATACACACACTCACTACACACACTCACATACACACACTCACGTACACACACACACATACACACATATACACACACTCACGTACACACACACATATACACACACTCACGTACACACACTCACATACACACACTCACGTACATACACTCACTACACACACTCAGGTACACACACACATATACACACACTCACGTACACACACACATACACACATATACACACACTCACTACACACACTCACTACACACTACACACACTCACTACACACACTCACGTACACACACTCACTACACACACTCACTACACACACTCACATACACACACTCACTACACACACTCACATACACACACTCACATACACACACTCACATACACACACTCACGTACACACACTCACATACACACACTCACATACACACACTCACACACACACACTCACATACACACACACATACACACTCACACACACTCACATACACACTCACATACACACTCACATACACACACTCACATACACACTCACATACACACTCACACACACACACTCACTACACACTCACATACACACACCCACATACACACACTCACGTACACACACTCACATACACACACTCACATACACACACTCACATACACACACTCACGTACACACACTCACGTACACACACTCACATACTCACACTCACATACACACACTCACGTACACACACTCACGTACACACACACATACACACACTCACACACACACACTCACTACACACACTCACATACACACACATATACACACACACACTACACACACTCACATACACACACACATACACACACACACGTACACACACTCACATACACACACTCACATACACTCACATACACACACACATACACACACACACGTATATACACACACATACACACATACACACACTCACATACACACTCACATACACACACTCACATACACACACACATACACACACTCACATACACACACACATACACACACTCACATACACACACACACGTACATACACTCACATAGACACACACACGTACATACACTCACACACACACATACATACACTCACATACACACACTCACATACACACACACTCACATACACTCACATACACACACTCACGTACACACACTACACACACTCACATACACACGTACATACACATACACACACTCACATACACACACTCAGATACACACACATACACACACATACAACAACAACCGCCATTCGCCACTAAGTGGCAGTGACGTCACCACGATGCTTGTGCCAGGCCATGTGCACCTTGAGGCCACGTCAAGTGTCGAACGCCCGCTGGCAGGAGGTCACGGGGCAGACCCAGCAGGTGCCACGGGTCGACTGACCGAGATGACCGAGATGACTGGCTGATGCACCACCTGTGCCCCCTACCGTACCAACTCGCTGTGCTTTAGCCACCCAGCGCTCCGCTCATTGTTGTGAGCGTCGCTCCTCCGCCCTCTGTTGTTGTTGGAGGGCGACTGCCTCCAACTGCCCAGTAGCGTCCTTCACGAGCCTCCTCCACTGAGGCCGATCTTGACACCGCTGGTACCAGTCATCGGCAAGTCCACTCAGCTCCACGTCCTCCTGTACCACATCACTCCATCTCTTCTCGAGCCCGTGCCGCGCCCGTTTAGCCCCCTCGATCCGGCCGAACAAAAGCTGTTTAGGCATGCGGTGGCTGGGCATGCAGGCTACATGACCCAGCCAACGCAGCCTTGCCTGCCGGAGGAGCTCACTGATGGGACTTTG